CTTACATAATCCTATTAAAAGAAGAAATGAAAACAAAAAGGAATGTTTAAACACGCGGATAAAATAACCTAAATGACCATCAGCTTCCAAAGTAGATAAATTAAGAAGTTACCATTTGTGTAACATTTGCAACACCCAGCGCCGGATTTCAGAAAAAAACTGTACTCTTTATAAGTTTTATTTACTTAAAAACTGGATGTTCAAGTAACCCAAAATTAATGTCTATCATAGAGACATTCAATGCTCAAAGAACTCTGGACAGCTGAAAGCAATAATCATAGCATATGACCCATGGATTCTCTGCTTACTTTGATCTTTACAATTACAAACTAGAATGATGAATCACGTCTTAAAACTACAAATAGTCTATTAAAGTGACTAACATTGTTGTACCCACAAAATGTACGATGACACCTACGTATTGATCCATCACAAACTATGACCACCTAAAGACAGAGGATCCAAGTACGGACGACAACAACCAAACAACGACTCACTCTACCTCTTAGAACCAACCCTATAGGTGTACTTACTAATAATAGATTGAACAGCACACCTTCAACTTTTCATGGGCTTCTTTTACAGCCTTTCCATCTTTTTTCTTCCTCCAGCGATGACCGTCTTTACGAAAATATCGAAGTGCTTTTCGATCAAACAGGTACAGAGAACCACCTGGAAAAATGAACATCACTTAGCTTCCCTTTGCATATACCAAGTAAGAATGTCAGTGATCCATCTGAAGTAACAAATGCCCAAATGACCAAAGATCATTTTGGATGATTCTATGCATGGAATGGGAATGGAAGAATCAGATAATTAAATGAAGCAAGTTAAGATACATGTGTGTGTGTGCCTACATTATGTATATGAGAAATAGAAAATACCAGCCCAACTGTTTCACATCTTAACCCGTATTAAATAGTAATAATAATGATAATTAAGCAATTAGTGAGTACTTTAAACATAACTTGGAATTCCTTGTAGAGGGTTTCTTAGGACCCTAACTTTCAAAAGAAAATAACAGAATGGGCAACCCCAGGGAAAACAAAAGGAGAAATGTTTCATCAACCAAAAATGGTTCTTATGGCAGTATCTGGCCTTCTCATAATCTACAAGTAAATGAAGGTCACCTCCCAAGAATTAATAGCACGGTTTTCCAATTTTAGTTAGAAATTAGTAAATCCAAAGAAAAACTATAATAGCCCAACAAACTAAAGTAGAACTTAACAAATTCAGACTTAACACATCGTCATCAAGAAAAACTATCCAAATGTAGCCATTCAGAAAAAGATGCAAGGGCCAACCTGGAGGCCTGACGGGCGGATCTGTGGTCAACTCAAAATTCTGATAGTTGCCAAGTATTTCACAAATTTCAGCTGGACGAAGCCAACGGTTCTTTGATTCTTGCAATATCAGGGAAAGGTCTGTCAAATTCCCAAGGTACCAACAGAATAAAAGATATTAGAAACAAAAATAATATATACGAATACAGGGTCCGATTTAAATTCGGAACAAATACATAGACATAAATTAACACTTTCAGCATCCCCATTCTGTAAATAAACACACTAGATGCACCAGAGTAAATTTGTCACAGAGACGACACAACTCAACGCACTTACAATGCATTACAAGATTACTTCCGGCTTTCAAAATAGCATTCCATCACAAAATTACTGACTCAGTTAGTCCATGCAAACTAACCCTTTCACCAAAGGTGCACTTAGTACTATGGTCTAGTGGTATTCCTCTTCATTTGTAAGCGAGAGGTATTCGGTTTGATTCTCGTGAAAGGCGAATTTGAACCATATTAGCTCATTACGAGGCTAAGACCACCTCCCTCCTCCTCTTTAGTGTAGATATATCATTTGTTCAATTTTTTTTTTTTTTTTTCACCAAATGTGAAAATTTGAGAGTTTTACACGCATGCATGAAGTGTTAATCAATGATCACGCCCAATAATTATTTCAATCACCAAAAAAATCACAGCCATTCTTGAAAATAATTATTATCGAGTGAAAAATTGCAAACAAAATTTGAAAAATCCAAATTTTAATCTAACAAAATAAAGAAAAATGACAGAACAAAACGAGAAATGAAGAAAGAGAAGAGGGAGAGAAAGCTGACCTAGGTGTTGATTGGGGAGGCATCTCCAGGTATCAGCCATGGGCTACCTAATGAGCTCGCATAAACCCTTGATTTCATGTGCGAGAGAAAGAGAGAGAGAGAGAGAGTGTGAGGGACTGTGATTACCACCACCAATCCACACAGAGAACAAAACGCCAACAAAAATACATGTCCAGAAATCGCAGAAACCAATTTTTGCTCTGCTCGCAAACAAAACGGTAACAAAATCGAAAAAGCAAATGCTTTCAGGCAGCCAGTCTCCAGAGAGAGAGAGAGTGGGGAATGAGGTTTGGGTTGAAGGAACGTCCCTTGGCCTTGAGAGTCGAGACACAGAGGGGGGGAAGCGAAGAGTGAAAAGAATTGGAGAGAGAGAGAGGGATTGGAAGTTGATGTGGAATGGCTTTTGCGTTTGCACTAATCCGATGTGTCATATATGGTTCTCATTCCTTTTATGTCCAGCTGGTCTTGACAGCGCGCGTCCCATTTACTTTCGAAACTGATGTCACAGCATTCATTTTTTATTTTTGGTCATCGGTCAAACATAAAGAATGTATCCAAGTATCGACCCCCTCTGTTGGAAAAGGATCCTCCCTGAATTTTTTTTTTTTTTTTTTTACTGATTCGGAGAATTTTGTAATTATATTCGTTCATCGTACAACGTACGATCAGAAATTTTTTAAAATATAAATAGTATTTAAGGAAGCCAACAACTATGTCTCTCGCCCGTAGGCAGAACAATGATCACTAGATGAGCACAAAACATTGAATATACTATTTCCAAACATAAGTACATATATCTCAAAAACATATTCATAGCATATAGTCATCCATCATATATACTATAAAGAGGTGTGTAAAAACATGTTCATAAATAGTATATAGTCATCCATCATATATACTACAAAGAACATTAGTTCAGTAAAATATAGTATTCCAAAATATTCGTGGTAAGCATGATAATCATAAAGTGTAAATCTAATTTACTCCTAAAACGTTTCGTAAAACATAACCATTAAATCATGCTTTTCATGTATGCATTTCTACTATTAAAACATGCATTTTAGAAGGGATCCACTTACAGATACTCCGTCGTTGAAGAACCGTATGAAATAGGAATGACGGAATTGCCGCTAATAATTGCACCTAAGCACATAAAGGGTCCAATTAATAAAGCTCTAATCACTTTAGAAGGAGTCAGCTTCGGCACTCCTTCAGGCGGCCCTTCCTGCTTTTTAAATGTGTCGCCTTCCTATTGGTCCGGGTCTGCTTCTAACGAACTGTGTAGAGGGATGTCGTGTACTAGTTGTCACAAGTTTGTATTTGGGACAATCTTTGACAACATTCCAACATTCTCATTTGGTGAATGATTTGTTTTTGTTGTTCGCATTGTACCACGCTTGTGCTTGAAGTGTATAAAATGTGGGATAAGACATTATTATAAAATGCGGGTGTAATACAAATAAATCAATTAAAATATTGATGTGGGTGGAATACAAATAAATAAATAAAAATATTGTCACTTGATTTGCTAAACTTCTGCCACTACTCATATTAGAGGAAGCTTGAGAGGACTTTTTTCCAACTAGTAAGCGAGTTGTTGAGTTTTTTCCAACGACCTTGAAGACCTTGACTACTTCTTGCGTCTTCTCCAAGCCTCTTGCAAAACACTGTAGTAATTCAACTCCAAAATTCACGCAACGGCATCTCATTATCCGTATGCGGGTCATGAGTAATTTGAATCCAATATTCACACAACGTAACATCTTCGATGACTGTTCAAGTAGCCATTTTTTGCACACAAAATTATATGAAAGCTTTGGTTCAAAGTGTTGAAAATATTGAAATGTGGTGTAAGGTGGAAGATGATGGTTAGGTATTTATTGAAAATAATAATAAATTTTGTTTTATTTTTTTCTGTATTTTAAAATAATTTTTAATAAATTTTTGATAATCTCTACTAATTAATGAAACCCTCTTTGTCAACCAAAAGAGGGTGAAAAGACAAATTAGTCTTCTATCACACAAAAAAAATGATGGGCAATAATGTAATTTCACATGGCCAAATTTTATTGTCTTTTATCGAAGCCTCACTTACAAGTGATGTTAAAATACCTCCAATATTTAAAAAAAAAAAAAAACCAAAAACAAAAACCTCCCACTACCCCACTTTCTCTCTCTCTCTCTCTCTCTCTCTCTCTCATTTTCTAAAAAAATGTGTTCATACACACAAAATGTGTAGGCAAATGCTAGTATTTATTAAGTTAATTAATTTGGATCGTTGGATTTGAAAAAGATTGAAATCCAACGGCCCAGAATTGGACACGTGGCCAACGGTAAGAATTCTGACATTTTATCTTTTTTTTTTAAAGTTTTTTGGCTGAAAATCCTGGACCGTTGATCTAGGAATCAGACGGCCCAGATGTTGCCACATCACTAACCGTTGGGTTTGAAATTCAAAATCTTTTTACCGTTGAAAATCTAACTGTTCAAAAAAATAGTTGTTGAAAATCCAACGGCCAAAGACGTGCCACATGGCCATGTCCCGCGCCCTTTTAGTGCACCTGCATCGGCGGGGCCCACCATTTGGTTGCTATCAGGAATGCAAGTGTGTTTCCCACGCGCTTGATGTAAAAAAAAAAAAAATCTGGCATTCGCTGACATCATGTTGATGCTAGTATGACGTTAGATAGGCCGATTCCTCACTCAATCCATTTTGGGCCGGCCTACAAATTGACTTGGACTTTGGGCTGACCTATTTTTAGGGGTCGAGGGTTTTACACGGTGCCAACCTATTTTGTTAGACTTGGGCCGAGCATATTTTTGTCGGCTGGAGTTGCTCCAAAGCAAAAAACAAACCAACAAGTCACTCTCAATTCCACAAGAAGCTGAAAATTCAACTGCTATTGAAGAAAAGAACAAGCAAAAATACAAGCCCCTGAAAATGCTCTTATCACAAGCTGCGACTGCAAGTTGTAGCAGTTATAGATTAGCTAGGGCCGTCCTAGCTCTGTCCTGGAAACCTCGGCTAAATTTTGAGCATTCCGTTTACTACTGAGCCGGCTCCTCTTTTGTTAACCGACTAGTAAGTACAAAAAGTCATCTCAAGTAAGAAATGAAACTAGCACATAGTATAGCAGGTATAATTATCGGTTTGAAGTTTCAACCCATGCAACAATACAGGTACGGGGAATGATGAACCGTACGAGGTTGAAGATACTTATCTTCCTCAATCGACCGAGGGTTCACGCTTAACGCCTGGCTTTAAAGAATTATCCTGACCAAAAGAAAGGAACTATATGTAATCAAATTGTAGTCAACTTACACACCTCACTCCTATCTGATAAACATGCACTAAATTGCCAAGATAGGAAATTTGTTTCACCAACCTTGGTACAAATGTAAATATAATGAACATCAGGGTTGTTTCCTAGCAATTCCTCCGCTGAGCTTCTTCCATCACCATGCAGCGGAACAGGATTTGTCAGATCCCATATTGGAGGTTCTGGTTTATCTTCACGGGAAAGTTTCCCTGCATACATGGTGATGGCACAGACAGAAATCAACACATATATAACAAAAAAGATCAAATGCCACGAAAAATACGACTCAACCAACCTATCACATGGAGTTTTATCATCCACGAGCTTGACTCTCTCAACAAGCGCAAACGATACAATGGGGCACCATATGTGACCTACAGCAGCATGCAGCATGTTTGGGACAAGTTATGGATACACAAACTGCAAAACAAGAATACGAAAAAAGAGGGCGGGCTGGGCGGGGGAAGGGAGGGTATATCGAAATCATAGGCGGAGAACAAAAGAATCAGCAACATTACCAGAAAGTAGACTCCTTTATCCTTGAGGACCCTACAGGTTGTTATTAACCGCTTTAATATATGGTGGGTGAACAAAATCAAGAAAATAAGCAAAACCAAAAGTTTAGGACAACTGCATTTACTTATTAAAACAGATTTATACCTCCAAACTTCCTCAAGCATCTCGGTAGCATTTTGCCGCGAATTACTTCCACACTAAGCATGAAAAATCGCACAACAAAAGAATCGTAAATAACAAAACGACATAAAAACAAGCACAAGAACATAGCACAAGGGTTATCAGCACTTACCAAAAGAGAATCTAGGGTTCCTGAAAAATAAAAATTCACAATATGAAGTGCATTCCGCAGTTTAGTTTTAGTTGTGCCGGAGAATATAATTAAATAATTACGACGATAATTAAAAATGAAGTACCTTTGTCAACAACAGCATCAAAGGAAGCAGTTTCGAAAGCACTCATATCTCGAACATCCATTTGCAAATCTAATTAATTATTAATAAACAAAATTAGAGCTAATTAACCAAAATACAAATAAATAACTCATAAAAATATCAAATTTAAAATATAAAAAAACATACATTTGAGGTGTGGACGATTCGAGTACTTGCTCTGCATAGTTTGGATGACCACAGATGAAATGTCAATACTAACTACATCCTCGTACCCATCATCAACCATTCCCTCGCTGAACGCTGCGTTTTAGAAACCAATTCCTTTTGAGTTTTGAGTGTGAATCAAATGGGAGATCTGAATCATCTGATCGGGTGAGTGCGGGTGCAGGGAGAAGGCAGAGTACGTACCTGAGTTGCCGCAGCCGACGACAAGGATGCGGTTGTGTTGGTTGGGATGGCGAGGGACGTAGAGATTGATCAGCGGAGCCAAAGATTGGTACTTTTGGTACCAATCGAACGATCCTAATTCGTTGGCGTAGCGGTTGTCCCAGTACCGCGACTCGCCGTACGCCTGCGTCGTCGTTCCCATCGTCATCTCTCTCTCTCTCAGAGTCTTCACCTTCCTTCGTTCTTCAGTCGGTTTCGTTTTTGGGTTTGTCGTTGTTGCGCTCGCCCGTGATGCTATAGTGGCATATGGGCATTAATGTCATTTTGCATGAGTAGATTCCTAGATTGCCACCTGCTGGCGTGTTAAGGCACTTGAATGTGTCTTGCCATATTCTTTTAAGTATCCTTCTGTTTACATATAATTTAAAAAATTTATCTTTTAGAATATCTTTGAACTTTTTAACGTAACAATATGCGATTAATTACGTTGGTGTTGCAAATGTGTGTCTTTCTTTTGAAATAAAATTACAAGGCCAAATCATGATGATATAGTTGTTGGCTCTATGATTGTAATTTCAAAATCCAGAACTTGGAAATACTTTACGAATAAGCACATGACCGAAATAAGATGTTTTTGCTAGCAATTGCTTGCATGACCATACTCACTTTCAGTTTTTTTATTTATTTTACATTACCAAACAATATCAGAAAATCTTTTTGATTTGCAAAAGTTGCTTATTCTCTTAACCATTTTTTCAAACATAACTAGCACTAAGGGTACCCTTAGCAATAATTAGACTTTTTAAGGTGCTGCACATGCCTCTCTAGTGCTAATTCCATTAAAAGAACGGCAAAATTAAACGATTAGGCTTACTATATATTTGTATCATATTTTAATATTATATAATGTACATGTCTAAAAGACACATCAGTGAACAATTTTATTTCATTATATATTGATCGAATGTATGGCATGGCACACTAATTATTTTTATTAAATGTAATACACTCGGTCAAATTTAGTAGGATAGATGTGTAATTAAGGATTCGTTTGTTAAAATGAATAAACATGTATTTGTTGAGATTGATTTTAAATTCCAAAAATAGTTTAAATGTTCTTTAAAAAAAACATCAAATAAGCACTTAAAGTACATTTTCAAAATTTCCTAAACATTAGTATTAAAAATATTTTCACAAAAAAGTATTTTCGATTATTTTAAAAGCATTTTCAAATCATACTTTTTAAAATGATTAAAGATAATAGTTGTACGAATGTAATACACGTAGGAAGCCTACCAATGCCTCTCGAAATTGGACAAAAGGGGGAACGAACCCAGTACGACGTCGTACTAGTTGATATTCTCCTTCAAGCGTTGCTGCTTCCTGTGTTTTGGGGACAAACAGTAGAGTGATGGACGCAATCAGCCAGTTGCAAGAAAAGGTGAACACGATCGCGACAATTGCTTTCACCACCATCGGGACGCTACAACGGGATGCGCCTCCCGTCCGAATCTCCCCAAATTACCCGGAAGCCGGATCCGCACCGACCCCCAATCCCAATCCGAATCCCAACCCGAATCCGACTCCGGAAAGTGACACGGAGTTCGCGAAGCAACCCAAGCTGATGAGTGCTGATCTAGTGAAAGCAGCAAAGCAGGTGGGCTTTGAGTTGGTTGACGTGGCATCTAATTTGTTTTTTTTTTTTTATCAATTAATTTTAATTCCACGATTGCACTTGTGCAGTTTGATGCATTGGTGGCGGCGCTGCCGTTGTCGGAGGGAGGCGAGGAAGCTCAGCTGAGGAGGATTGCTCAGCTTCAGGCCGAGAACGACGCCGTCGGCCAACAACTTGAGAAACAACTGGAAGCTGCAGGTCAGTCAGTGCGTTCAGTCAACTTAACCAGTCACATTTGACCAATAATACGCTAATAGAACCGGTTACAAAATTTTAGTAAAAAATATAAGCCGAGAACATTGAAAATACAGTAATTTGGAACCGAATTATGGTTTATATTCGGCTTATTGTTTGTTCGGTATCTCCTTAATTCTATTTTTATCAAAAGTTTATAGGTACAGTTTCATTTATGTTTCATTTGTTTGCCTGAGTGGTTTTTGATGGTGGCAGAGAGAGAATTGCAAGAGGTCAGAGAGTTGTTTGGAGAAGCAGCGGATCACTGTTTGAACATGAAGAAATCAGATTGAAAAACTAGAGTTGCTTCTTGTTTCTTAGGAAATTTACCACTGTAATTTACGTGTTCTTTTTAAACCGGTTACTGAGAGACTATGGATCTTGTGTAATTGTGGTGCCAGTATTTTAGAGGTTATGCTTTTAATTTTGAGAACTTTAACGAAAAGCTTCAGGTACTGTTCATTTTAATGAAGAATCACATTTTTACACTAAAAAATCAATCATGATACTATTCACTTTACATTTTATTTGTCTTTACCGTTAAAACTCAAAGTTTTCAAGTTATTTTCATTAAATTTTCTTTTAATTTTTTATACGAGCGATATTAGAGAAGAATCAAACTTAGGACATCAAGTTATTGGGAGAGAAGATTCAAACTCAGACATCAGATGTAAGAGAGATGGTAAATCCTAAAGTTATGAGCCTCTAGAGCTAGGGTTCCTTACATGTCAATGAAATGAAAGACAATTCTCCAATCGAAGGGGCGTCTAGCAAAACCTTGAAGAATCCGGCACTACGGACTTTTACTAACCGGTTCACGATGGATACCGTACGGAGAACCGCCGTTTATATCTGGCCGGAGAATGAGACATCATTCGCAACAGATTTGGCAGTCAAGTCACTTCGTTTGTTTTTTGTTTCCATGAATACCAACGGACACGAAAAATGATCTCCAACTTTCCAAAAGGAAAATGTTCTAACAAAACCAAATAAATCATCCTAATCAAACCAAATAAATCATCGTCAAACATGATGGTTGATATTGTCCTGTGTATGCATTCGCAAACTTAAATAAGGTGTACAACAAGAAATGTCTAAGCTGACAATGAGTTACGACAGATTGAAAACTAGGATCCTATTCAACGGGAGCGTGCGGTTTCTGGTAGAGTTCAATGCCAAAGAAAAAGTATGACAATTTGTGAGACTGCAGCGGCAGAGCTATCTCTTTTTCTTTCCATGTTTCCCAGATTTGGCAGGTCCAGCACTTGAAGTGGATGCAGCGGGCTCCTGCTTCTTAGTCCTACCAGGATGCCTAGGAACCATCTCTGCAACTTTCAGCATCAGCTGTTTTCCTGCAATTTAGTCAAAATAAAAACCAAATAATTATATACATGTATTAATCAACAGGCACACGAAAAACAAGGACAAATCTTCATTTTATGTTTAACTAAATAACGCAAACAGTTGAGTTGTAGAATGTGGCGACGCCCTCATAGGATTAATGAGACAACCAGACAAAGGAATCGCTTGCAAACGCTCACTGAAAAAACTTCGAAAACAAAGTCCAGTTGGTAAGACTTATTCTGGCTTTAACTATCTTCGTAAAGGTTGACAATGTTATACATCCGTGGTTCAAAGACGAGAATGGCGAAGAGTGCATATGTCCCACTGTTACAAACAAGGATCTCTGTACCCTTATCTTATTCATTCCCTGTTACCCACCCCAACCCACAGCTTGAGTCACAGATTAGGAGCCTATGATATAAGGTGAGATTAAACTGGGGGGGACTCTAACAGCTAGAAACTGCCAAATATCACAATAGCTTTTGCTTTAGCTATATAGAGAGAGAGTAATTTGACAGGATACCTTTGCTAACACAGTAAGTTTTATCTCAATACCATGGATTACAATAAGCAATAATTAAAGGCCACTGTTTAATGTCCCATCCCGAAATCTTGCATTAACTGATACATTACTTTTGAGAATGTCATAAAATTAAGGGTAAGTGCAATAGTAATAGAGCAATACTTACTGGAAGTAATGTCTGGATTATATGGAGTTCCATCTTCCTTTTTGAGCAAGACCCTCACTCTCCCAATTTGCATGAAATCACGTGGATAAGCCTTGTCTATCTACAAGAGTCAAACACGCCGCATATATTAGTACAAATCACACCCACTACTGGAACTAAACATGCACAAACCTTATGACACAGATGGTGCAAATGTAGCAAAACAAACCTCGATTGCAAATGGGAGTTTAAAATAGCTGCAGCAATCACCAATCTCAGCACAAGTAGGACCCTCGCACGCTTTTGCGACACTGATTCGCCTCCCTTCAGCCACAGTTTTCTTCGAGTTAATATAGACTGGATAAAGAACAACCCACTTCTTTATATTGGGGGTCTCCTTATCCATGTCTCAGCTAATGAATACCTACACGATAAAATTATTTAATTACAACACAAACCCATCACATTTCTTTCCTTCCTAGACACAAATGCACAAAAAAACATTGAAATGTTAAATGGAAAAAGAATATACATTTCAATCAATATGCTCTAAGCAAGACGAAGATCAATCAGAAATCCCAATTACAGCTAAATACTCAATGGCTCAAGATTTCTATATATATATGTATGTATAAACAATACACACACATATATATTCAAGAAAAGCCTGATGATGCAGATCAAAATCAAAGTAATTTAGTACACTATTCTTAATCCCTGACCAACAATCACCCACACAAAAATCAAAGCAAGCACACGCAGATGTAAAAATGCACCAGATCACAGAAACCCTAAAATTCCAGCGACAGAAAGAAAATTCAAGTGGGATTGAATCAATGAACTAACCCAACAAAATAGCAATTGAAGTTTGAGAAATGAGGAGGGGGACGGTGGAAACAAAATGTTCGAGCAATTGAATCGAATCGAAAACGTGATCTGAAGAACTTACCAGAAATTGAAACACAAGCAATGGAGAGTTTGAAGAGCAAGCCGTGATATGCGAGAGACTGAGACTGCAACGGAGATTCGACGACGAAGACCGTCCGCGCGGAAGAAAACATGAGTTTTTACTTTTAACGCCCAATAATTTGGGCTTCACACACTCTTCAAGATTTGAGGCCCGTTTATATTTTTCGGGTTGGGCTTGGCTTTGATCAGCTATAACCCAGCGCATATTCAATAAGGTAGTGCTGTTCATTCATTATTTTTTGCCTCCACCAATATATGACTGTTAAAAAATTAATTCTATTCAAGTAGTCCAATAGCTTAGCAAATATGGTATTGAATTTTTACTCATGCCCAAGTTCACCTTTTTATTATTTTTTAAAAAAATTTATTCAATTATGAGATTCAACAATAAGACCTCTTCTAATTATTGACAAATACTTATATTTTTTTTAATAAACGATATCATTTGCACTAAAGGAAATGATGTGGGTTTAACTTCACAATAGACTAGCAATAATGTAGTTCAAATTCATCTTTGATAAGAATCAAATTTAAAACCTCTAATGTACAAGAAAGAAGGAATATCACTATAAGCGACAAATACAGTTTTTAATTGTGAAAAGGAGAATAGAGTGCTACAATTGATGAAAATCATGAAATTGGTTGTTGAAAATCGTTGGACAAATGAAGAAACTTCCAAAAGTGTGACATAATCAGCCTTGAAGTACCCGTCAAGCTTCCCACAGTTCGCTAACGACCATGTCTAAAGAACACAAGTGGCGAGAAGTGGCACGTGGCAGGCACACTTCAGCAATCTGATTCTTAACCAATCCACTGGCGCGTGTATGTGGTAGGACTATTTCCACGCGTGTGACTTTACAATCTTACCCAACTGTACACACTCATCAGCCGCACCTGCCAACTGCGCACTTCCCGTTCGCAACACAACATCATTTGCCACTCCACTCCACTCCACCGCACCATACCAGACCCGACCCGATTGTTCGTATCCGGCGACGCCAGCGTGATCCGAGAAAATCCGACCCAATGGCCCGGAAGAAGATCAGAGAATACGACTCCAAGAGGCTGCTCAAGCAGCACCTGAAACGACTCACCGGAATCGACCTCCAGATCAACTCAGCTCAGGTGACCGAGTCAACGGACTTCACCGAGTTGGCGAACGAGCTGCCATGGCTGTCGTCGACGCGGCTGGTGGTGAAGCCCGACATGCTTTTCGGAAAGCGCGGAAAGAGCGGCCTCGTCGCCCTAAACTTGGACATGGCGCAGGTCGCCGAGTTCGTCAAGCAGCGACTCGGTAAGGAGGTAATTGAATCCGATTTCGTATAATTTGAATCGTCTTTTGGAAACCCGAGATTTTGAATTAGGATTTTTGGATTTTTTTGTTTGATGGGTTTTGTGTAAATTTTGGAAAAGGTTGAGATGGGAGGATGTAAGGCGCCGATTACGACGTTTATAGTGGAGCCATTCATGCCTCATGATCAAGAATTTTACCTCTCGATTGTGTCTGAAAGGCTCGGATCAACCGTGAGCTTTTCAGAGTGTGGAGGGATCGAAATTGAAGAGAACTGGGACAAGGTAATGAAAATTTGTGTTTGTTTCGAGTGTTTGGAATTAGGATGGTGTTTTCTGCTTGGTTTTGAGGTTGTTAATTTGCTGTGGTGTTTGGTTTTTATGTTGCATAGGTTAAGACTATATTTCTTCCGACCGAGAAGCCTATGACGAATGACGCTTGTGCTCCATTGATTGCCACTCTTCCATTGGAGGTGTGTGTCATAGATCATACTGTTCTTTTTGACGTTTCTCCATGTTAAGCTCGAACTTCAGATCTCGCAAGCAAATGCGTTGTTATAACAATAAACATGAGCATATACATGAGGCTCGCGACATTGACATGGACTGCTCGCGACATGGACTGTTAAACTTTTTTGGCTATATTTCTTGTGAATCCGTTTGATTATCATCATTTTATTATTACTACTATGCTCTGTGTATTCAACTTTTTGGTTGGTTTTGGGACATATGCTTAATGTATTCTGCTGTTACAGGTCAGAGACAAAATTGGGGATTTCATAAAGGGCGTATTTTCTGTATTCCAGGGTACGAACATCCAATATGGATTACTAAAGTATAGAACTGTGTAAAACTGTGATTAGCTATGTAATGATTAGTTAGGTACATGCTCTTGTTGCTGAGGAAGTTTGCATTCCTGATTTTCTTTTGCAGATTTGGATTTTAGTTTCCTGGAAATGAACCCATTTACCTTGGTTGACGGTGAACCTTATCCATTAGATATGAGGGGGGAGCTGGATGACACTGCTGCCTTCAAGAACTTCAATACGTATATTTCTCTTGATGATTTTCCAAACTTTAGTTCTACCTGTTTCTAGTTAACTACTTTTGGTTTGATTTTTCCTTTTGACAATATTTGTAATACTATTCAGATGGGGCAGTGTGGAGTTTCCACTGCCTTTCGGCAGAGTCTTAAGTCCTACAGAAACGTTTATTCATTCTCTGGATGAAAAGGTAAAAACCGAACTGTTCCTTGCGCGGAAAGAAATTTATGATAAGTTTCAATTTACTTTAAGGATCAGCACTTTTTAAGAGTTGTTCAAACTAAGGTTAAACATATATATTGCAGACAAGTGCATCCTTAAAATTCACTGTGTTGAACCCAAAAGGACGCATCTGGACCATGGTAGCTGGAGGGGGTGCAAGTGTTATTTACGCTGATACTGTGAGTAGCCTGAATGCCTGATGTATTGCAACCATATAGCTATACTGTCCCTGTAGCAGCCCTTTCAAAATTTTGGGTCTCCATTTTTGGCTTTAATTCATCATTTCTGATTGAATGTGCACCCATTGCTATTTCTCCCCTCTGTTTCTTTGAACGTTGGGAACCTTTAAATTCCTACCATGGCCTGTTGTAATATTCTGGCATCGTTATGGGATTAGGTTGGAGATTTGGGTTATGCTTCAGAACTTGGAAATTATGCAGAGTATAGTGGAGCTCCTAATGAGGAAGAGGTGTTGCAATATGCAAGAGTTGTTGTCGATGTAAGAAGCTTTTCTTATCTTATGAAAATCTCTTTCTTCTCTCTTGCTCACACACACTTCCACTCGTATTTACTTCGTCTGACTACTCAAGTTGCAACCATTACATGTAGCACACTAACTGCCAATAAAATTCTCATATATTGCAGTGTGCAACGGCTGATCCAGATGGTCGTAAAAGAGCTCTAATAATTGGAGGTGGTATAGCTAATTTCACAGACGTAGCTGCTACATTCAGTGGAATTATTAGAGCCCTAAGGGAGAAGGTACCACCACATTTTGACATTCATATCATATAGATAGATTGGCCTAGTTGGTTTATTTTGTTTTGTATGCTCAAACCGTTTCTCTTTTGCGACATCAAAGGAATCCAAGCTAAAAGCGGCAAGAATGCATATATTTGTGAGAAGGGGCGGTCCAAATTATCAAACTGGTTTGGCAAAGATGCGTGCTTTGGGGGAAGAACTCGGAGTTCCTCTTGAGGTATGCGATGACTTTCTGGTTTTGACATTTGATATCAGTTGTTAACAAGCCTTACTCTTGAAGAACGTTAAAGGGTGAGGTAAAACACAAATAGATTATAAGTCACGGCCTGCAAGCCTGACTGTCATTTCTCTATGCAGGTTTATGGCCCTGAGGCAACAATGACCGGAATATGCAAGCAAGCAATTGAGTGCATCGTGGATGAAGCTTAAGAGTTTCTTATTCGTGGTTCTTTGTATGAGTTTTCAAGCCTCGAAGTGTGTATTATGATTTGGCCAAAAAGGCAAAAAGTGTGAATTGTGAGTTTATCTTGGCAAGATGAGACCGCATAATTTCTTCAGTTTTCCAATCTTTTCAACTATTGTGACTTATTGTGATGAACCATGTTTAAGTGTGTTCTTGTTTTGAAAGGAAATGGTTGCATTGTGTTCTTGTTTTGAAAGTAAATTGTCGCATTACTTTCCTTCCTATCCTTCCGTTTTCTGCCCCTTTGAGTATTTCAAGTTTAAACAAGTAAGAGGTAATAAGCAAAAGAAAATATTTGTCACAAAAATTATACAAATCTTTAAGGAATGAGGAAGTGAGTAATTTTTATTTTTAAACAACGATATTCTACATGTAAGGGGACGGCGATAGTCTACTATGAGGGGAGGGGGTGGATTGGGCTAAAAGAAAATCTAAGATCCATGTGTTTGTTAATTTGAATCTAAGATGTTCGAGTTTATGACTTGTTATCGTTCAATAGAGATTAGAGAATTTGAAATGTCATCATCCAGTTCTGAATGAATGTGTTTTAATTTTTTCATATTTATTACTTTACGACTTTATGGAATTAATTTTCATATCCTTATTTTTCTCCTACACTCTACTTTTAATCTCTCACCTTGTGTTGGATAAATAAAAATAAAGAATCAAATGACAAAGTTGCATTACAAGTTTTTCCTGGCAAATATATATAAAGGTAATTTAGCCAAAGGTGAATAAAAACTTTACTATTAAGCCATATATCAATGACATATTTTTATTTTGGACTTAATCAATGATATATTTTTATTAATTTGGTAAAGGTCAATGATGAATGCCACATAAGTTTTAAGTCATTATAAAATCCATGAAAACACCAAAATACCCTCTGAAGAAAAAGAAAGGAAGAAGAAGACGCTGCTGATTTTTACTTACAATGAGCGAACGACAGAGAGAAAGAGAGAGAGTGATGATGGAGAAAAGAGAGGGATAGGCAAAACCAGAACATAAGGAGAGGAGGAGCAGGTAATGAATCCATGGATAGTGTCGGCCAAAGGTGGCAGGAAAATGGAAGCTGCTAAAGAATCAACTAGTCACTTGTTGACCGCATCCACCACCTCACTGGCCGTCCTCCCCACGTCTTCCTCTGCCGCAGTGTCTTATTTGCCCACAGGTCATTGAATTGTCGAGGAAGGACTCGATTTTGGGCTGCCAGGGTTTGGAATCGGAGGCGGGGCAGGGGGATTTAAAAGGGGTGTTGAGGATCTTGATGACGGAGTCGGGTGACGTAGACATGCTTGAGACGGCAAGGACGTTAGAGTTATTGATGGATCAAACGTTCTGGACGTCGGAGGGAG